GTTGCCTTGATCTTGAACAATCTATACTATATGACAATGCAACGGTTTAAAAAGTGTTGCTTTAGATTATGTAAGACAACAATATGTAAAATGTAGACATTTTTTTTACATAAGACAACAATTATTTAAAATGTTGCCCAAAAAGGTAACAACAATAATATTGCTGCTTATGTAATAATTTTAAAAATGTTTTTTCAAGGTATCTAAGACAACGATTGTTTCATGTGTTTTCATTACCTTACATAAGATAGGTTATTATTTAGAACATTGGTTTAAAAATAATAATAAACAGATTATTGTCAATAAGAACAAAATTATTATCTATTCAACAATTTGAAAACATTAACGTAAAGGTGTGTATGACAACGATAGTTGATGACTAGAAAAAATGACTTAGCATCGGTTATTTTGGCCTTGAAGGCACACAAATTCAACCACGCCAGTGCATATGTGGTCGGTGGATTTCACATTTCACAACAGCATTTTTAAGCTAAATCAATGTAGAAAATATAACATATATGTAAAAGTTACTATTTTCATACGAGTAAAATTGATGTTAATTATACAGTACAAATAAAAAAAATTACAAAAGGCTGGCAGTCTTTGAAAAAAAAAAAAACAAAAAAGACAGTAGCAACGTGTAGAAGCAATATCTACAAGTTGTTCCGACTGCCTGCTGCTGCTGCTGGCGACTGCCTGTTGGTGGCAGCTAGCTGCTGGTTGCCTGCTGATTGGGACAAAAGCTCGATTGTTACAAGACTAGCACTTAGTAGATGCCACCCCCATATCAGACCTCCTCTTCTGCTGATTTGTACAATGTACAGTGTGAGATTAAGATCAAGGCATCCTGAAAACATAAAGCATATTTTATAAACAATGGAAATGCTTTTTAAAGAAACCATGTTTATAAACAACTTTTATACAAAAAAAATAAATATATCATTATTTCAGCCCAAAATCTAATTCCAAAAGCTAACATGGCAGCTAATAAAAATATCAATCAACTCACAAAATCCCCACGATCTGATAACTTTTGTGTATAATTGGGATACCATTTATCTGTGAGAATTCTAGTTCGTATAAGTATCTAATTTTAGTTAGCAACATGATTTCATCCAAAATAATATTTCCTCAAACGAATATATATATATATATATATATATATATATATATATATATATATATATATATATATATAGCGCAAAATTCGTGACTCTAATAAGTTCCTCATCTCCCGTCGTATCCTCTTTAGCTACTAGGTGTGCCAAGTATTTCCATTCTTTTTACATGTGAAAATTTGCAAGAAAGAAAAAGGGCCCTATCTCTTCGAATATCATCATAAACGCTGAAAATCGGGGAAAAGCCCCTGCTTCCGTGGGATATAGTGTTGATTACGCCCAATGCATCCGACTCCACCCACACATTATCGTAGTTGAACCTCCTAGCAATCGAAAGAGCATATTTGATTGCTTGAACTTCAGCACATTTCGGATCAGTGTAGTGGATTTTTTTAGTAGCTATCATTAAAATATTGCCACAATAATTTCTGCAAACCACCCCCAGACCCGCCATACTGCCACTTAAAACATGGGCATATGTATTGATCTTCACCGTGCCAAAGTGAGGGGGATACCAGCGTAAGCAGCTGCTTTGTATGTTGCATCCACCAAGAGGTTTAACATTCTGCATATACCTGGTGTAATCATCAGCTAAGCGACAGAAACCCGCTGCCAGCAACACTGGATCAGGCCAAATGTCTTCAAACAGCTGTAAATTTCTGCATCTCCAACACGCCCACATAAGGGCAGCAGCCTTTCTGATGTTCTCTACAAAGAGCTTGTTTACCATCCATAACATCTATCTGCAAACGACGATATAGGGGCAGCATTCACCTCATCCTGCATATCACTACGAGCCCATATCCTCCTGGCAGTAGTGCACTTAAAAAGAGAATGGAGGATTGTTTCCACAGGGTGTTGACAAATCTGACATACAGAATTAGAGGTAATGTGGCGGTATCATAATCGTTCTTTTACAGCCATATTACCCCTGATTGCACACCATAGAAAGCTTTAATTTTGGTGGGCACTGCAACCTCCACACACTCCTCCAGTACTCCTCTGAGATCACATTCACAGCCCCCTCAACACATCCCCTACGAGCAAGCCAATAACAAGACCATACAGAAAAATTCCCATCCTTTGAACATCTCCAAAACAGTCTATCATTCGATGGGCAATGTGACAGCGGGATGGACAAGATCACAGCAGCAAGATCCTCTTCCATAATAGTACGAACTCTATCAGCGTCCCACTTCCCCTCCCCAAATGCTACGCCATACATAACTTGGGTCATAACCACGGAGAGCGTCAATAATATCAGAGTTCTTAAAGTAACGGGCCTTCATAACACGGGAAGCAAGTGAGTCAGTTTTAATATGGAGGCGCCAAATTTGTTTTGCAAGCAAAGCCATATTGAAGCAATGTAGGTCCCGAAAACCAAGGCCGCCCTTTGATTTAGGCATACACATCTTATCCCAACTCTGCCAATGAAGCTTCCTAATGTCACTGTTGGACCCCCACCAAAACCGGCAAATCATGGTATGAATTTCATCAATTATTCTTTATTATACCTCAAATACACAGGTTGAACTTTAGTATGAAAATTGGAACTTGACAATTACAATTCACTTTGATTTAGAACATGGAAATGCTTCTTAAGATAACCAAGTTTATAAAACAAATTTATATATATAAAAAAAATAATAATAAAAAGAAAATCATTATTTCAACCTAAAATCTATCTAATTCTCAAAAGTTATAATTCAAAATCTGACATGGCAGCAGTAAAAATATCAATTAGCTCACACCAATGCTAATTCCAAAATCTAATTCTCAAACTTATTCGTATTCTAAAGTCCAATTTAACCAATACTTTTGCAATCAAACCAAATCAAAACTGCTAAAACTAATTAAAATGCTTGATTAAGCATGACGTAAATTCGGCATATTTTTACCAGATTTAAGCTTGAAATGATATTATTCCAATATCTACAAGTTGATGCTGCTGCCTGCGGTAGTCTGCTGTCTACTGCCTGCTGCTTGCGGCTGCCTGCTGCCTGCAGCTTTCCCTGGTGGCTACATGCTATTGTGTGTGGCTGGCTGATAGAAAACTCTTAACATCTCCTCCAACAGTCATAAGCTGATCTAATAGCATTACATGCAAAGTACATAAGCTAGTTTAAGAGGTCATACCAGCACCAAAAGCAGTTTCTGAAACCCCGTAACGATTGCAAGCCTGTAAGACATAAAAGGGGGGAAATCAATAAAGTACAGTTCATGTAGTCAAGAAAGCAAGAAGCTTTGAGCCGGACAACCAAGGCCAAGATGATATATGATTACTGAAACTTCATATTTATTTGATTTGGGCAGTTAACTGATTCTTTTCCGAAACAAACAAATTAAGCTTCATAAGGTTATCAAATATTCCCAAAACAATAAAAAAAAATAAAAAAAAAACCCAACTTTTTATCATTAAAACAAATAATTTTGCAGTCAAACAAAACCAAAATTGTTTAAGCTAAAATCCCTAAGCTTTTATTACTTCAAAGCTACTAAAAACAGAATACCTAGAAGGGACCAATCATATTTCCTAAGCTTCATCTTCACTTGCTTGTATGAAATCCCATAGAGTATTGTCCTCGATTTCGTCATCCGATTCATCAATTTTCGGCTCTGCTTGCATTTCTAACATGTATTCAGGAATGTCAACAGTGGTGGCAGGCAAGTCCTCTCTCAACCAACTAACATCATAGTCATCAGCAACAGTTGCCTCTGGGCGAACACCATCGCTAGCAGATTCATTCCAATAAGAAACTCCAACATCACCATTTGATTCTTCACTCATATCAAACAAGCCTCCGGGGATAGTTTCCATAACGTAATGCAAATGCTTTTCCTTGGAATCTTGCACATAAAAAACTTGGTTTACTTGATTAGCCATCACAAAAGGGTCATTTGTATAGCATAACCTTTTAAAATTTGCACATGTTAGCCCAAACTCATCTTGCTCGACTTGAAACCATTTACAGCGAAACAATACCACTTTGAAATGTCCAAAATAATCTAACTTAATGATATCCTCCACCACTCCATAATATTTGACGTCCCCAACAACAGGATTTTGATCCCTGGAACTTGCAAAACTCGACATTGAAGATGTTACACTAACTCCACTACATTGAGTTTTCCTTTTTGACTCATGTGCAGTTGTATGAAATTTGTTACCATTTATTAGGTACCCTTTAAAACTTCTCACGGTATAGTCAGGACCTTGGGATAAATCCTTGATTTCTTTGGAAACATTTTCTTCCCGTACACGGTCCTTGAACCATGCTCCAATATCATGACTGTGTTCTTGTGCTCTCGCCCACCTACTCCGCTTACCCCGTCTACCTTGACTTCTTTGACGATTCACTAAATCTTGATGTTTACTACATACATATGACAAAGCAACTTAGTTGTATTAGTCAATTATAAATCATAAAGATTAAATATAGTTAATATGAAATAGTACCAATTTAAAATTACTTACTGACCTTATGTAATCACTGATTTCATCGCAATTAAAGAGTACATAGCGGTGAGCCTTCATCAAGGTGTCTTCATATAGAGAAACCTTTTTGCCTTTGTTTATCTTTTTTACGCCTAAAGGACGTCCAACACTAGGAAAAAGGCTTACATCTTCATTAGAGGCAGTATCATCATCATTTCTAGGTGCCCGATTCAACTTTGAACTAAAATCATCGTGAAGATACCGAGAACAAAAAATAAGGCATTCTTCTGCCAAGTAGGCCTCTGCAATGGAGCCTTCGGGTCGACTTCTATTTTTTACATATGATTTCAGTTTACCCAAATACCGCTCTTTCGGATACATCCAACGACCTTGAACAGGCCCCCCAAGCCTTACTTCATCTACAAGATGAAGTGGAAGGTGGACCATTATGTCAAAGAAACTGGGGGGGGAAATATCTTCTCAAGTAGGCAAAGTATCTCTATGATTTCAGATTCAAGATCGTCAAGATCTTTAGGCTTTAGAACTTTCCTACATAGACCCCTAAAAAAGGATCCTAGCCTAATCAAAGTTGATGCTACTTGCTTAGGAAGGGTATTCTTTACAGCAACTTGGAGCAAATAATGAAGCATAAAGTGGGCATCATGACTCTTGTAACCAGTAGCCTTCCTCTCATGGTATTGGACGCATCGAGAGATGTTTGATGCACAACCATCGGGAAACTTAGCACTTTTTATCACACTGCAAAACAAGTCTTTTTCATTAGAAGATAAGGAAAAACAAGCTTTGGAGTATAAACGCTTCCCTCTATTATTCGTTCTCTTTGGATGGAGTTCATTTCTTATACCCATATCTTGTAAATCAAAGCGGGCTGCCACATGGTCTTTAGTCTTTCCTGGGATATCAAGCAAAGTACCAAGCACACTGTCACAGATATTTTTCTCAATGTGCATAACATTAAGATTATGACGCAAGGTATTAGTTTCCCAATAAGGAAGCTCAAAGAAAATGGATTTCTTCTTCCAAGGAAATTTCTTCCTGCCTTTCTTTTGAGTTTTCCCAAATTTATTTTCAAACCCTTCTAGATCTTTTAATACATCAAAACCCGACAATCTAGTAGGAGGAGGCCTTGTTTCTACATTACCGTCAAAAGCTCTTTTATTACGACGCCATGGATGATTTTCTTTCAAAGAGCTACGATGTCCCATGTAACACATTTTCTTACTATACTTAAGGTATTTGGACCAAGTCTTATGATTACAATTCGGGCAAGCAAATTCTCCTTTAGTACTCCATCCTGACAACATTGCATAAGCAGGAAAGTCACTGATTGTCCATAACAAGGCAGCCCTTAATGAAAATTTTTCATCTTTCACGGCATCATAAATGTCAACTCTAACTTCCCATAACTCTTTCAATTCCTCGATTAACGGTTGCAAGTAAACATCTATGTCATACCCTGGAGAAGAAGGACCAGGTATAATCAAAGACATGATATTATACTCAGACTTATTATATAACCAAGGAGGCAAATTATAAATGGATAAAACAACTGGCCAAATACTATATGACACACTCATAGTTCTGAACGGGTTGAAACCATCAGTAGTAAGACCAAGCCTCACATTTCGACAATCACTTGCAAATTGAGGATGCGCAATGTCGAAATTTTTCCAAGCTTGTCCATCAGCAGGGTGCCTTAATTTGTCATCTTTCTTACGATCAGTTTCATGCCATGTCATAAGTTCAGCCGTCTTAGAGCACATGAACAACCTTTGTAGACGAGGTTTAAGTGGAAAGTAACGCAAAACTTTTGCAGGAACTCCTTCGTCGGGCAATGCACCTTCCTCTTTTTGTTTCTCATTTAATTTCCACCTAGAAGCTTTACAAACATGGCAAGACTTGTCATTTGCACGCTCTTTCCAATACAACATACAATCATTGGGACACGCATCAATTCGTTTGTAATCAAGTCCAAGGTTCTTCACCATTTTTTTAGCATGATGAAAAGAAGTGGGGAGCTTTGCTGATGGAAATGCAGCACATTGAAGCTTCATCAACTCATCGAAAGAAGAATTGCTCCACCCGTTAAGGCATTTAAGTAGATAAAATTGCACTGTGTATGAAAGCACTGAAAATTTTTTACAACGTGGATATAATTCCTCTTTTGCATCTTCTAACAGTTTAAAAAACTTTTTAGCACTCTCATCAAGACCCTTGTGAATTCCTTCTGCTTCAGAGGTGGAACCTCCCATAACATCTCTTAATATATCATTAATCATCTCACCCATATTGTCTAATGTGTTTTGATTATCACATTGATGCCCACTTCCCCTTGAAGAAGACCCTGCTGTCAGTCCTTCGCCATGAAAATTCCACACTTTATACCTCTTGTTAAATCTATGAGCAATTAGGTGATCGAAAACCACCTCCCTAGTGAACCAGAATCTGTTAACACACTTCGTACATGGGCATAAAATTTCCGGTTCATCATCTTCCTCAACGTCCATGGTTGAATTTAGAACTGCTAATTCAAGAAAATTCTCAACTCCTTTAATATATTCTTCGGCATTTTGGGGTGCATCAATCCAATCTTTATTGATAATTGCCATTTTAATACTCTACGACATAAGAAGTTATAAGGAGGATCAACAACTAAGGATTATGTATGTTACCCCACAATAAGTGTTAGCTAAGAGCATTATTATTTCCATTCAAGATTCCAACAAAATGTAAATGGAATAAGTCAATTATATGCCGGCCTTCTTTCCTGGTTCCAGGCCTTTTGTGGAATCAAGTTTCAAATTTTGATGTCTAACAGAAATGTTCACCTATAATATTGCTAAACTATTTATGATTATATATCAATTTTGATAATCAAACCAATTAAAGCATAAACATACTTATCTAATTTAATTTGATTTTAAAATAATAAATCTGTATTTTTCAAACCTAATAAGGCCTGACATAATAAGACTTTAAAATAACAAAACTGCAAATATGATAATTCATAATCTAATTCCTTATAGAAGACAAGAAATCAGCATGTATTAATAAAGCAACAAATATCCAGAATCATCCTATTTTTTACACATATTGTTGTAACATCAAGTATAAAAGATGAATACAATATACTCTTAGTATCCTCTATTAAGTCTAATAAAAAAAATGGTATTATACGAAATTGGAAATTAGAAATTTCCAGAAATCATGTACGAAATAGGATGAAGAATAATATATTATCGAACAACACACAAGCTAGTTGAGTCGAATTAGAACTTACTTGTCTTTGTTGCTTCCTCGATCTACCAGAAAATAGATAAGATGATGCCAAACAATCTACATTAATTCTCCACTGTCTTGAATACCAAAAAATAGAAATCAAAATCAAATTTGAGCAATATTTTGGAGTTTAGAATAACAGAGAGCATTTATTTGGATTCTTAATTGGGAATTTGTGGGAATTTGTGGGAATTTTATGGGATTGATTTTGTGGAAATTTTGTGGGAATCACGTTAGTCTAATTGATTTTGTGGGAATTTTGTTCTTGGTTTGTTGTGTGACGAATGCTAATCTCTAACGAATTACTTGGAGTTTGTTTTGTTTTGTTTTTTTTTCCTTTTTTTTTTGTTTTTTATTATAAATTTTTTGGTCAAGAATCACTAATTTAAGCATGTATTTTGGAAACAATTATCTATTAATTTTTCATAAAATTACCTCATAGTTGTAAAAAGTATAACTGACACTACCACTCTAACCATTCCGGCTAGAATCTCCCGTATGTGAGTCCCTCTTTTTACCTTTCCCTCATAAAATCCACCTGAATATACTAAATTACCCTTCATAAAGGTAAAAAGTGAAACCCACATGCAGGAGATTCTAGCCGGAATTGTTAGAGTAAATTTTAATAGGTAGTTGTTTCCAAAACACGTGTTTTATTGGTACTTATTGACAAAATTTCTTTGATTTATTACATGAACACTGCTATATGTTGGTAATCAAGATGCTAGATGAGATAATTTCCTACTAAGCATTACCTTCAAGCCAATCTATAATAATAGTAATAATAATATATTTATTAAAAGAGATTTTGTTTACTTTGTATAAATTTATAAAAGTAATAAAAAAAAGTTACTCTGTACAGTTAAAAAAAACGAAATAAAAACTACTATATATGAATGATTAGTAAAACCAGGCCAATTATTTAATCTTGAGCTTAAATTTTACACTTAATTATCAATTAAATAAATTAAGATTATAATCAATGTATGCTATAAGTACAGAGTACATTTTTTTACTGTATGATTAGCAAAGGTTAGATGAAAAAGTGTGTGATAATCAATGAGTAATTAACTATTAGTTAGAGCTAGAGTTGTGAACTTAGAAATTTCGTATGAAATTTGGTGACTTAAAATAGCTATATAAGTATTTTACTCATTATTTTTATCAACCATCTTAAGTAATATTAAATTGGCAAAATATAATAATAGCTATATAGGTGAGATGACAGATAAAAAACTAATACCTTATTGATAACCACAAACTTATTATTTTGTTTATCCTTCAAAGAAAAAATTATTCATTGTTAATGAAATAAAATAGTACATGCAAAAAGTAAGTGTGTTTAAGTTTTAAAAAATAAGAAATATAGACAATGATAAGTTTGGAAAAAAATCAAGTTGGGTTAACCTCAAGTACGCTCAATAGAGATTAGAATAATCAATTTATAGGTCTATGTTGAGTCTAGTTAAGTTCATATTTGTCAAATTGAAATCAGATTGAGTTTAATTCAGGTCAAATCAGTATCAAAGAGATTTTAACTCATGAAAATCACGAGTTTAAATGACTTATGTGTAAAAGAACAATGGATAAGTAATTGTATTTTAAGCATCATGACTTATAAGCATGATAAAACAATTTGACTGTCACATAACTATAAAACTTAATGGCCTGGTAAAAGTGTCTATGTTTCTTTTGTATCTATACAGTTTGACTTTCGTATTTGTATAAATTTAAACCTTGACATAAAAACTTTGTTAAACATTATTACAAATAACTTCATACTGTTCACCTTTTTTTTTACTTACTTTAATTAGTAAAAATAAGGTTGCATAAGTTTAGGTTAGGGTTGATTGGTGTATATATATAATACAAAATAAGCTCATATGATAATTTTGACAAGTTCAGATAAGAGGTAAAGGCTGATAAGTGACTATGCAATTAATTACAGTTTATCAATAAACTAAGTTATGTACTTTAATTAAAAAATAGTATTCTTACCATAATGAAGGATTGTATCCAAATAATGGCATTTGCTTTACATAAATCTAAATTAAAATTTCTAAAATATTATATTGCTCATTATAACTATTATATGTGGTTATATACTTCATAATTGAATAATTGGTGCGTCGAGTCCTTATATTTTTATACCATTTCTATAATTTGGTTTTCATTATAACTATTTAACAACCGTGCGTCTTGCACGGGGTTTAACCTAATAATTTATAGGATGACATAATTATAAATTACTTTAAATATTAAAACATAAGTACATAATCATATTGGCATTATTTGATTCATCTCAATGAATAGTTTATTAATATTCAATCATTATATGTGTTACTAATATGCAATGAAAGTTATTTTTAGTCATGGTAGTGCATAGTCTAAGGGAGACGAACATTGAAAGGAAATGAGGGAGTATCTATGTGAAAATATTTTTTTTTTTGTATTTTTTTTTATTTTTTATGATAATAGTTAAAAATAATGATAGGAAACAGCCAATCAATTATGGACAACATAAATTCTTTTTTTTGACAAAGTGGAAATTTAGAGGTGTTAATTCGGGTGTTTGGGTCGGATTTGTTGAGCTTGGGTCAAGTCGGGTCTAACTTCAAACTTGAGTTATACTAAATTATTTAGTCCATGCGAGTCGAAGTTCGATCGAATTGAGGTTTTTTTTTTTTGAGTTGATTTCAGATTGGAACATATTTTGACACCTTTAAGTGAAATACTCCGTATATAGCTAGCCTATCCACCTATGTAGTGAATTGGTGAACACTTTTTATTTATTTATTTGTATTTTTATGAAAAATATTAAAAAAGGGGGAGCAATATTATAAAGTTCACAAAGGCCCCCACAACATGTCAGGCTATAACAATAACTAACATCAAAGAAACAAGTTCTGAGGCTCAGAGCAACGAAACTAGATGAACCTTTTCCAAAAAAAAAAATAAAAAAAAAAACCCCCCATGATCTCCATAACTCCATTTCTTGATCTCCATAACCTCCAAAAAAGCGCGCAAATGGGAATTTTTTTTGCTCCAAAATTTTCCCAAGAATCAGTTTCACTGTTTTTCTTTTCTTGATCTGCTTGCTTTATACTCTCTGCTCAGGTTAGGGGTTAAATAATCTCAAATTTGTTTTGCAATTAATTTGTTGGCTTGCTCTCTACTCACACTTTAATTTGCTTTCAGGATTGTCTAGTTAGATTTGATGCTGGCGAAATCGTCATTTATCTCGGAATTCCAATTGTAAGTAACCATATTCCCTTTTACTACTTAATATGGTTAATTTTGATGTTGGGTTGATTTTGATGAATGATATATATTATTTGTTTTAGCTTTAATTATAAATTATCATCCTTAAATTGCAATATGACAGAAAGCTTGAATGATATTATGCTTTGTTGGGAATGACAATTGGATATCGTATAAGACCCATAGTTGTGTTAAGGTCTGATTGTTGTTTCATTAACCCACTTGTATAATAATGGTATCTATTTTTTGCATAAACAACACAATCACTTAAACATTTGTCTGAACCCTTGACCAATTTAGTAGGCTAATTTTTCCCTCATTTGTCCTCTTTTTTTACCCTGTACCTTTGATATCCCTGTTTACACTTTTCCTTTCCTGTCATGTTTTTCAACTTCCATTTGAATTTCTGGAATCAAGCAAGTTTTCTTTGATGAATGGTTTGAGCTAAATAGATGATTGCGATAATAAATAAGATGAACACAACATAAAGACATGGACACACTATCTTTCACATTATATGGTTTAGTTAGCTAAACGAAGTCTTTTATTTCATGAAAGCAGTAGGGTCAGAATAAGGGACTACTGTAAAGATTCGATTATGGGCCTTCCTACTTAGCAAACCTTATGTTCCTGTCAACTAGAGTCCTATTGCTTTCTAGTGTCATGTTTTTTGAAGCAATTGAAAGAGAAAAGGAGTCCTCAGAGGTGTTAATGCTGAAACTGTAACAAGCAACATCTAGAACGCTTGTCATGGAAGTCCTGGTAGTAAAGATATCAGAGTATCTTCAAGATGTTTAATATACGCATTTCTTATAAGACTAATTCATCCCTATGTTAGAGTGTATGAATTTGATCATGAAAAATCGAATGACTAGTGTAGTAATATTTGCAGTACAACAGGTTTCTAATAATTTCGAAAAGGTTCCTACTACATACAGATTTCCAAGGTGGTTTCAGGCTTGAAATCATTCTTTCTAATGATTTTGTTTACTATTTCCTTATACTTTTCCCTTGGCAGGGGACACCATGTTGATTCTTGTATAAATTATAACGCTGCTATCTACTATCA